AAAGAAAGCGAGGAAGAAAGGGCGAAATCACGCAATCACAGACCAGCAAATTCCAAAGCAAGGCGTGGCTGCCGAGCCACGCCTATGGCATAGATAATATACTATATTATCTATGCCTATGGCCTAGCCATATAGCTCACAGCATGCTGAGGTAGGGAAAGAGTGGTGTATGGTATGAATGCACCATTCCAACATTAATGATACATACTAAGTAATTGACAATGCATCTTCTATTATTAAAATACATGCAACTTGTATCTCAAAGTTAAATTTTACAACTCATCCTCTTCTAATATTCTTCAGCTAGATACTTCTCTTTCTTCTTCTCCATTGTCTCTTTCTCTTTCACTTGCTACAGCTCTTCCGCTTCCTCTTCCTCCTCCTCTCTCATTCCTCATGCTTCTAACAATAGACAACAAGTGATCCACTGAACTCTGCAATCCCTTCACTTCCTCAGATAATGGTTTGATCTGATACTTTACATCAGTTACAGTTGCCTTCATATATAAAAGAATAATAACAGAAAGAAATAGAATATTGCTTACTAAAGGTTCAGTTACAAGTCTCTTTTCAATTAAAGAGCCAATAAACTTCTTCCAGACACTTGACTTGTTTGGATATATCTTTTGCTCTTGTCCAATGATGATTAGATTCTGTCTCAGTTTTTCTAAGAAATCTTCAACAACATTTGATGCATGTATTTTCCTAAAAATGCTCAGTGCATTTCTTAATAAAGATCTTAGAAATTCTTCCATTGGCAGTATAAACTCAACCTATTATAATAAGTAACATATTATATACCATGAAGTTTTTGCCAGAAAAAAAATTTGCGAATCCTGCAATTCTAAAACTTCATGACATAAATTTTTGCAAATAGCTTGCAAACTGACTGCACCATGTGGTAAAGAATTTTGCAATTTAAATTTTTCAACAGAGGCAAAAATGGCAAAATTCACAAAAATTTTTTGTCACATAAATTTCATGGTATATGGTACAATTACTACACAGTAGATACATTGGTCCATATACCTTTAGTATTAATCTATATGTATCAGCTGATTTTTGTATTTCTTGAGTGTCACCAACAGCTAAACTAGTCTATACAAAATTAGATGGTCAGTGAATGGACAATATATACTGCATACCAATAGATTAAGGAAGAGAATTGGCATTAGAACCACAAACACAACCAACAATGCAAATGTAACTACTGGATACTGTACATCAGTGGAATTCATTTTGTCATCCTGCAGCAACAATATATCAATGTTGTATTCTCCCATTGTCATTATTATTGTTTTAAGAAGTGTCCTCCATGGAGTGATAAATGG